CTGAGGAGTTTATCTGTCTTGGATTCCCCGTGTTTCCAGCTCTTATCTCTACCCGTGTACATGTTCTGGTCTAGTCAGATTTGTAAGGAAGAATTAGGGTCGTGATAGTGGGGGTGAGGAAGCATTAAAGAATCAGAGGAAAGGTGTATGTTTCATCGGTGCTACACTGCACCCTGACTGGCCTGTCTTCTCCCCACAACCCTTCTGTAAGAGGCTGTCGAATTGCCTACAGATTGACTTTGGGCCTCCACTTTGCACTCCCCACCCCACCCCCCTTCACATTGACATGATTTTTTTGTTCTGGGTCTTCGATGCCTGATACCTGATCCCGTCAATACCTCATGATCACACAGGCTGGTGTGCTTCTTCCACGTGGGCTTTGTTGCTTCTCAGCTAGATGGCCACTTGTTTATCTTCAAGCCATTTAAGACCCCAGGTGCTATATCTTTTGATAGCTGGGCACCATCAGCTTTCTTCACCACATTTGCTTATGCACCCATTTGTCTTTAGCGATTGTGTCAGGAAAGTGGGCAACTCGGAATGCTGGATTATTAGAACCAAGTGTTCTTATGTTGAGTTAGTACTTGAGTAGAAGGGCCAGGGCTGTTAATGATACTTCTACTCCATGCTAGTATTGACTCTAGCCCTTTTCTTGAGTGGACAACCTACAGGGCTTACCTGTCCTTGCCTCCTGTCACATTCAGAACCCATCAAACCTTGGCATCAGTCTCAATCACAGTTGATTTCTTTTGCTTTTCACAAGTATTTCTTTGTTTTCAAACTAATTGTTTTTATTTTTTCCAGTCTTTTAATATGAATATTCTCATGTATAGAAAATTTGAAAGAAGTTCAGAGGACATTCATTGCCCATCACATAGATTCTACCGTTAATATTTTACAATCATTGATTTATTACATGTCCATTCATCCATCCTTCTAATCACCTATTAATCCATCTTATGTTTTTATGCACCTAAAATAAGTATTTCAGCATTGAATATTAGTGAGAGCCAGCATTCATTTAGAATTTTTACAAAATACAATGGAATGAGCAATTCTTAAATGTGCCAGATTTAACAAATATATACAAACCCATACATTTGTACAGCTAAGCCTCCATCACTGTTCCTGTCACTGCCCCAAGTTTCTTAATGCCCTTTGCCAGCCAGGCCTTAGTCTCCTCACCCCCAGAAGCAACCACTGTTCTATTTCATACTTCCCCATAGATTACCTTAGCCTGCCCCAGAATTGCATCTGCCTGGAATCAGACTTCTTTTGCAGGGTGTCATGTTTTTGAGATTCATCCATGCAGTTGGGATCAATAGTATGTTCCTTTTTGTTGTTCAGTCCTGCTAATCTTTTGTATACAGACACCAGTTTGTTTATGCATACAGTGGGGCCTTATTATATTTTCGTTTTTTGCCTGTTACTGCTGTGTACATGGAGAGAAGGTAGTACATCAAAATAGGAATGTAACTCTGCTATCTTAACCTGAAGTCTCCTGCTGTAGTTGGTGCATACTCTTTTAAGGTTATTGTATTTAAATTGAGTAAAAGTAGCTGCTTTTTCATTTTACTAGAAATTGAGTTTAATCTTGTTCATTCTCCTTTAGAGCCCACTTAATATACATTATCAGTTTATATTTCTGCATGAAGTTTAAAAGTAGAAAATGCAATATGTAAATGAGGTACTACTATATTTAGTATTTTTAAAGTTCCTTATCTCATAAATAATATCAAATAGTCATATATTAAGTATATACTTGTTTTATATCATCTTAGAAATTCATTAATTGGTACCATATTTTTACTGATCTAATCAAAGTACAGTTTATTAATAACTAATATACTCCTCTGTTATCAACAATAATATTAATACTAGAGAATTTTGTTTTCAAGACTGTTGAATCAACCAGCTGAACAACATATAGTACAATTCTTTTTTATATACATCATTAAAAATATGGAACACTTCACGAATTTGCACGTTGTACTTGCACAGGGGCCGTGCTAATCTTCTCTGTATCCTTCCAGTGTTAGTGTATGTGCTGCCAACACGAGCACTATAGTGCAGTTCTTTGTACCGTCTACTCTCCGTTAATTCATGATCAAATTTTCAATGTAATGCAATTCTAGAGGGTAACTTAGGATCTCTTTTTAGAATTCGAAATAGTTCATGAGTCACAGCTTACTGCATATAGTCTCAGCATTTGCTCTAATCATGTTTTCTTTTTACCTTTCTTCAGGTTTGGTTGGGATGTTCCAGTAATCCTGAGAAATTCAGAAGAGACCCAGTTCAGCACAAGAGTTTTCAAGAAGCAAATGAGACAAGTGAAAAATCCCTTTGGCTTAGAGATCATCAACCCCTCATCAGCTTCAATCACAAGTTGGTGGCTAGTTATTTTCCCGAGATTTTTCTCTCATTACACCCCCTTTTCTTAGCTCTTTCATTTTCTTTCCCTCTTTGTCTTATTAGACTTTTAAACTGACTTTAATTCTGTTCTTGTTGAGAATATATGCAGTAGAGCACGCCCGTTCAAGAGTACCTGCACGGACCATGGAGTTCCATTGATTATGCCTTTTGCAAGCTGGACAGCCATTCTCACTTTCTTTTCCTGAATTGTTCTTTCCCGGCAACATACATTCACTGCACCCTAAGGTTCCTGTCTAATTTTTTGAGTTGCTGTTATTAATCTGAGCTGCACAGAGATAGTTCTTAAAAGATCATAATGCCTAAGGCAGACATTTTTTAACTGATTAAGATAAACTATTGTTTGGTTGTAAGAAGACTCCAGGAGATCTTTTTGGTTTAAGATTTAAAGATTATGTCAGGGCAATCATTTCTGGTGTCTGTCTAACTTTCATGGCTCCAGGAAGTCTGGAGAACAGGAGAATTTTGAAACTCTGTTTTGGGTTTTCCCCCTTTTGGTCAGGATTCTTCTATGGAATCTTTGATCAAAACATTCAGTACTGGTTGCCTGGTACTATCCAGTTCTTCTGATCTCATGGCAAAGGAGGCAGGGTGTACAGTGGCAGTTAGCAACACATTCTGTTACCCCCTCTTCCTATTCGTGATTCTCCTACTGGAGTATTTGACATCTTAACAATATTAAGTTTTCTAATCCATGAACATGGAACATCTTTCTACTTATTTAAATCTTCTTTAATCTCAGCAGTGTTTTATAGTTTTCACCATGTAAGTCTTTAATGCTCCTGATTAGATTTATTCATAGGTATTCTATGCTATGGTATGTGGAATTGTCTTCCTCAAATCCCTTTCAGATTTCTTATTGTTGTTGTATAGAAACCCAACTGATTTTGTTGATGCCCTGGTACTCTGAAACTTTGTTGAATCTTCTATCTCTAGAATTTTGGGGGGTGCACTCTTCAGGATTTTCTATACGTAGAATCATATTAACCCTGAATAAAGATGATTTTAGTTCTTCTTTTCCAGTCTAGATACCTTTCATTTCTTTTCTTGTCTTTTTGCTCTGGCTAAAACCGTTAGTACCACACTGAATAGATCTTGTGAGCGTGAACATCTTTTTCATATTTTTCTTCACCAGATTTTAAGCAAATACTTCTTGAGCATCTATTTTGTTCATGGGGCTGCATTGCATACTGGAAATACAAAGGCTAATACCACATATATTTGAGTCTAAGCCGACCCAAATATCAGCTGAGGCACCTAATTTTACCACGTAAATTGCATTAAAAATGTGTTGAAAAACTTGGCTTACACACGAGTATATACAGTAATTTAAGCACTGCTTGTAAGGAGCTTAGTGCAGAGGCAGATGTGTGTACTGATGCAAACAGTAACGTCTCACAGTGGCTGATGTAAAAAGTTTAAGACACTGGTTCCATCCGTTAGGATGCTGTGTTGTCCTCATTGGTCTTCAATGAACCGAGCAATGCAAGGATAAAGTAAAATGTGTAAATGCTGTTACGTATAGTTGCTACCAGGAAGAACAACTATCTTCTCACCTAACACGGTGTTTTGGTATAGATTATTATGGACAAAATGTACTTTTCTGGTAGATGGTAATGATAGATGGTAGTTGGTTATTTATAAACTTATTTAGAAAAAACAAATTATTTACTAAACGAACCGTCTGGGAACCATCATAGGGAATGGAGGGCATTAGAAAGAATAGAATATGTTAAATTTTAAAAAATGGGGAGGTATGTTCAGGAAAGGAATCATAAAAGAAGGTGATGCTGGAATTCTGTCTCTTTGAACGATGGATACGAAAAATAAGTGGGTATTTATGTACTTGGGAGTAGTTCTGGGTAGAATGAGAAGCATGAGCAAAGTGTTGAGGTCAGTAAGAAGCAGAAATAAGACTTCAGAAAAACAAGGGGTTTGTTATGGATAAAGCTCAGGGCGCAGCAGGTGAGAAAGACGAGTCTAGAAAGACTCCAGTTCTTTGTACGGGTCCTCAATGGGCAGATTCTGTTACCAAGATAAAAAATACAGGAGGAACGGGAGGTTCTGGAAGAGCGCTAACAAAATTCAGTACTGAGCACTTTCAATGAGAGCAAACCTCCAGAGTTTGAAATGCCATTGTGACTGATAAAATATCGAATAAGTAGGTCACGATACATTTTCCATAGTGCTATAAAGTTTTCTGAGCTGTAACCCCACCGCCTTTTAAACCTGCTCGTGATTTTGTTTAAAAGCAAACAAACCAGCACTTGCTCAGCTTTTCATTGTTCTCTAACTACTGACATGTTTGTGTTTTGTCTTCCCTTCACAGTGGGCTTCTTAAAAGCTATCTGTGTTTTCCCTCTTCACTTAGCCTGTCTTTCTTTCCCCCAGTGCAGGGCAGGACTCTGCCACAGTTCTCTATTGCAATGGCTTCCCCAAGGTCATCGTTACCATGCTACACCCCCCCCACCCCCCCACTCAGGACCCTTAGCAGATGCCAAAGCCATTGCACGTTCCTCGGACCTGCGTTTGTACCCTCTCTGCAGTACTGCACAGGGTTGATCAGTCCTTTCTTTGAACACCTGGTTCTTTTAGATGTGTGGATACTAATTACTCTGTCACTGACAGCATCGTTCTTCAGAACAGACCTTGGAATGTTCTTTTTGACAGCGAATGAGACTCCGCTGCCCTTCAGTTTTTCATGCTCAGCACAGCGAACCATATGATTGTCTGATTCAGCAGGCTTCATACTGGTCCATTTTAGGTCGTCATGCATTTCATCGTTGGTTCTTTCCAAATTTTTCTAGATTCACACGCCATACATTCCATGTTCAAATGGTTCTCAATTTTGAATTGTGCCTTGTCAACAAATGAACGTCTCCAAAATTTTACCCCATTCACACCATTGAGGTAGATTCGACTTTGAGGTGACAGCTCTTTGCAGTGAAATTTGGAATGCCTTCCAACGTGATTGGCTCATCTTCTTGGGCCACCTCAGACAGCAATCCTTGGCTCTTCAAAAGGTTTTCACTAGTCAATTTTCTAAAAAGGTCATCAGTCTGCTTAGTCTAGAAGCGCTAGTGAAAGTTGAGCACCATGGGTAACCTGCTAACATGGGAAATATGGATGGCACAACTTCCAGCAGCAGGCAAGTCACCACAGCAGGACAAACTGACAGACCACCAGTGGTGGAGATAAGTAGTAGTATACTGTCATACAAGGGAGGCCGGCTTTAAAAAGTTTGCAGAAAAGCTCCATTATCTTTACATTCCATTTTTCCACGAACTTTCTGAAGCCCCCTTGTGCTTTTCTGCATCTTTTGCATTCTCGTTTACCAATATATTCTGGAGGTCATTCTTTTGCATTTGGTACAGATATTCTACTGTAGTTTTTTTTAATGTAGCTGCATATTTCTTCACTGTGGAGTATTCCATATTTTATTCACGTCAGCCCCTATTGTAGGCATTTGCACTGGTTCTAGGAGTTTGCTTTTATGACTAGTACTATTTGAATCAGGAAGACCAAAGAAGCATCGGGGTGTTGGAATTAGGGTGCTGGTGAAGAATGTTGAAAGTACCCTGGGCTGCCAAGAGAACAAGCACATCTCTCTTGGAGGACGTACAGCCAGAATCTCTAGAGGCAAGGATGCAAGATGTTGTTTCATGTACTTTGGACATGTTGTCAGGACCTGGAGACAAGTCCCTGGGGAGGACATCATGTTTGGTAAAGTAGTGGGGCAATGAAAAAGAGGAAACCCTCTGATGAGATGGAGTGACACAGTGACTTCATCCGTGAACTCAAAGCAAAGAACAATTGTATGATGACATAGGACTGGCAGTGTTCAGTTATGTTGTACATAGGATTGCTGTGTTAAGGCCGGTTGACTAGAGAAACAAATCCAATGACATATATAATTAAGATAGTTAATGTTTATTGTGCCAACCTGGCTGATAAACACATGTGGGGTTAATTGAAGGGCAGAAGGATAAATGGCTCATTGAGCCTCGCCTTTCGAGTTCTTGGGTCTCTTGCTTTGTGATGGTCAGACCAGGGTGCAGTTGCCTTAGCTAGTTCCTGCTTCAGCTTGCAAGGCTCACTTCCTGCAAGACATCCTGAGGAGAAGCCGCATGGACCTACTCCGATGCAGCTCTGGGTGCCGGAGCAGCCTTGTGGAGACTCCTGCCAGTGCTGATGATTACACATTCACTGATTCAGCTTTCCTGCAGTCGGCATCATAGTGTGTGTTTTGTGAGATGGAGGAGGACTCTGTGGATTGGTATCGGGCATATGAGTTAATGTTGGACTTGTGGGTTTGGGCAGCACTGGGTTGGGATGTTTTCTTGATGTGCACTTAACCTTTATATAAAACTCTCTCTTATACATGAGTTTCTATGGATTTGTTTCTCTAAAGTACCCAAACTAACACAATATGGAAGAAAGAACTTCATATCAAGAAGTAATTGTTATATCAGGGAAACATCCCAACCCAGTCCAACTCAAGTCTATCACTGCAATACTTGTCCATATGTCCTTCTTCTGACTCACGAAGCCACATGCAATGATGCAGAATGCAGGAAGATCACCGGCCGGTGGGTGCAAAGCCCCATGAATCTAATGGCAGTGGAAGCATCTCCAGGGTTCTGGCAGCAACCAGGGTCCACCAGCAGGAAGGGGAAGGCACAGAGAGAGGGGGAGGTTCCTAGGTCCCTCCTTATGAGAAGGATATGCCCACAAGAAGTCACCATCAGGCTGTGAGCTGACTGACTCGCTAAACTCCACCCCTACACTTTGATATATCTTCAAGTTGACATGAAATTTTGCAACGACCGCAGTAGCTATGAGTTGGAACTGGCTTGACAGCACCTGACAACACCAACAACTAATGCTAAAGTGATAGCTTTATATGTACATTTTTTATATTTTTTGCTACTAATACAACAATATTATTTCATGGGCTTCATTTTGGCCTTTTTTTCCCCCTCCAATATGACTTTTCTTTTCCTCTTTCTTGTCTACTTCCAACTTGCTCATGCTTCCAACTTCTTCCAACTTCCTTCATGCATTGGCATGGAGGAGAATTCTGTGTTTCATGTGTGCAAAATCCCATCAGTTGTTGGTATCCGGTGGAGCATTTGCTTGTGCTTGTGTATCTCCTTCCGAGGCATTCCTTTAATCACAGTTCAATAAATACATTCCTAGAAGCAGCAAAAGCAACAACTTCCCTGAGAAGGACACTGAGTAGCTAATGGAATAAGAGAGCACACCTGTTTAACCCGGAACCATGCCCAACTCCATTTCCTTCAGTGTGGGAAATGCACCTCTGCTGCTCAGCGGTAGATGCCCCAGCTCACACGGTTGGCGGTTCAACACTTCACTGTGGAGTATTACATATTTTATTCACTTAGGCCCCTATTGTAGGCATTTGGACTGGTTCTAGGAGTTTGCTTTTATAACTAGTACTGTTTGAATCAGGAAGACCAAAGAAGCATCAGTGCGTTGGAATTAGGGTGCTGGTGCTGGGCTGCCAAGAGAACAAACATCTCTCTTGGAGGAAGTACAGCCCTACTCGTGACATTTGTAAACCCTATGTAAGTGCTCTGTAAGTGAAGCTATCATTTATTTGTATGGCAACTTAGGGTGGTCCAGTGGCTAAGCGCGTGGCTGTCAACTGAAAGGTTGGCAGTTCGAAGCCACCAGCTGCTCCACAGGAGAAAGACCTGGCACTCTGTCCCTGTGACAATGACAATGGACCCCACCGTGTGGTCAGTTGGACTCTGTCCGTAGGGTTGATAGGGGTCTGGGTCTACTCAGCGGTGTGCAACAGTAATAGCAACATGCCTCCCTGTGATTGATGTGTCCACGTAGCCTGGTCTACTCAAGTCCTCCTGTATTATGCTGGAAGCCAACAAGTGCGGGAGGCCATTGCTAGTCAACCCTTCAGGGTGTGGAACACGCACTGTCCTCGGGGTTGGACAGTATCTGTTTGACAAGTCTGTTTTGCTCTTGTCAATGTGTTGCTTAATAGTAGTGGATCTCGTTTTCTTTGTAATGTTTCTCCACGCCAGTGCACATCTTGTATATACCCACGACTGGAGCTGGCTTATGCCTGCACCTCTCCTGCTTCTGTTTGGATCATGTATGCTGCAATTGTGGTAGATTAGCCATACTGAACCGTGATTCAGTTTTCAGAATATTGGAGGAAATTCTTACAGTCACCAATAGCTTTATCTGTGGTGTGTGGTTTGAGGAAAGATCATTTAAATGTATACGTAATCCTCTACGAATGAGTTTTCTGAGAACTCCGACGAGTGTGGAGCCACTGAGATTCATGTTCCTGTTTGAGAGGCCGGTCCCTTCATGTAGAGGCACCGGCCCTCACTCGGCTCCCTAACTGCTGTCAGTCAGCCAGCATCCAAAGCTTTGGTGATGCACCACGTACAATGGTATTTGAAGATGCATTCGGTAATTCTCTCTCTTGTGTTCTACAGCTGGCATAACCTTGACAACAGACTGCCTCGAGGACAGCCTCCTTACGTGCTACTGGGGCTGCAGTGTCCAAAAATTACACGAGGCGCTGCAGAAGCATGTGTCTTGCTTCAGAATCAGCACTCCCCAGGCTCTAGAAGAAGCTCTCTACAGCGAGTACCTCTACCAGGAGCAGCATTTGTATCCTTTCATGGGCTACACCGTTAGCATGAGAGGGGCTTGGGATTCTCAGGGATAAAATAAGGTGATGCTGAGATAGGATTGAGCCCTTTGGCCTGGCATTGTTTCACTGGCTGTCGTGACGATTGACCTTTACATTTCCAAAAAGCACTAAGAAGGACAGCAAAGAAGAAATTTATTGCCAGTTACCAAGTGACGCCAAAATTGAAGACTTTGGTACGGTTCCCCGCTCTCGATACCCGCTGATAGCATTGCTGACCTTAGCTGAGAAGGATAACCGGGACATTTACGATATTGTAAGTAATTGAAAACTGCTAAACGCGTTTCCTCTAAGTGGTGTGGATGCTGGTTCTTACTTATTTGGTGAATTAAAAAAAAAAAAGTTTTTCCTAACTTCTGAGACTATACAGTGGCCTGGATACATTGTCCTTGAAAAATTGAATACCTTGAAAGTCCCACTGTGTGCAGGGAGCCCTGGTGATGTAGTGGTTATGCATTGGGCTGCTTACCACAGTTCGAAACCACCAGCTGCTTTGAGGGAGAAAGATGAGGCTTTCTACTCCGTGAAGAAGGGCTGTCCTCTCAGAAACCCACAGGCACAGTTCTACCCTGCGCTGTAGGGTCGCCATGAGTCAGAATCGACTTGATGGCAGTGAGTAAAGCCACTCTGTGCTGCTGAGGCCAGTGTTGTTTCTGTCATAGGCCCTGCTGCACGAATAGCGCATGTATGTCTGGGCCCTACAGTTTCAGCAGCTACAGTAATCTATCTGTTGTGTTTTGTTCTGGTAGCTTATCCCTATTGGGAAGATAAAAGCATCTTGGATCTCTAAAGGAGCTGAGCCGTGACAGTCTCCTAAGAAGGTTATACATGAAATAAGCTTTAATGTCCCTATGCACAATTTAATGAAATTGTTTCCTGAAGTGCTTGATAGGTAAACCTTATTTGCTGAGTCAGATCCGATGCGTAGTGGCCCCGCATGTGTCAGAGTAGAACGGTGGTCCTTGGGTTTTCTGTGGTTGGCTTTTCAGAAGTAGATCACCAGACCTTTCTTCCAAGGTGTCTCTGAGTGGACTCAAACCTTCAACCTTTTGGTTAGCAGCTGAGTGCCAGGAACACCTTGGTAGGGATACTCAAAAAGCAAACAGCCACGGAGTTGATTCTGACTCATAGGGACCCAACAGGTCAGAGTAGAACTGCCCTTTTCGTTTTTTTGAGACTCTTAACTCTTCATGGGAGTAGAAAGTCTCATCTTTCTCCCACGGAGCGAATGGTGATTTTGAACTGCTGACCTGTGGTTAGCAGCCCAACATGTAACCCACTACGCCACCAGGACTGCATCTGCTGTCTTGATGGAGGTAGATTTGTTAATTATGATATGGTAACGTTTGGAGGGGTGGTAGTGGTGATGGTACTTTGTAGTACCCCAAGTGCATTCACTGGAACCCTAACCAAACCCACTGCCATCGACTTAGTTTCGACTCGTTGTGAACCTGTAGGAAAGAGTGGAACTACCCCTGTGGGTTTCTGAGACTAACTCTTTACGGGAGTAGAAAGCCTCCTCTTTCTCCCATGGAGCTTTTGAACTGCTGACCTTGCAGTTAGTAACCCAACACTTAACGCCTACACCACCAGGGCTCACCTGCTCCCTTGCTAGAGGTACATTCATTACTAATGACCCGGTAATGGGAGGGTGGGCATTAGCTCATAGTGCCCACAGTGCATTCCCTACTAATAGCGTCTTTATGCCTTTAGCAGCCTTGTTTGCTGTGACAAATACTCTCTGAGGCAGGCTGAGCAGACTCCAAAGGAAATGCAGTAGTTCCTGCAGTCGGAGATGGAAGCAGGGTTTGACTCCAGGCACTGGGAGCCCTGCGCCAGTGCCCTTTCCCTGCCCTGGGAGGCTCCCCAAACGAAACAAGCAGGCCTTGGGCTCTGGAAGTTGCAGGCTTTTGCTGGGAAATAGTGACCTTCCATGTGTCAGTGAGCCTCCCAGAGCTTGACAGCAAGACTCCTCCCTTGCTGAGTGCAGGATGGTGTGTAGGAGCGAGCTCTGGTTTTCTTCCCTCCCTTTCTTCCTCACTCAGTTGAAGACAAATACGACCTGCTAAATTGGCATTTCTTCTTCCCAGCTTCTTCATCCTTTGGCTTACCTGCCTAGGTAAGGTAACCCTTCTCGCACCTCTGTACCCCCATCTCTTCTAAGGTCTTGGGATTCTGGCCTCCTCCTCTTTTCCTCCTGTTTAGGACCGCTCCCCTTCCCCCCAAAATAAATCAGATTGTGCATTTTCCCTTCCAACTTCCTCCTTGGATTCCGTTTGTTGTTTTTGCTTTCTAGCCTTCTTCCTCTTCCTTAGCGGGACAGGACTTGCCAGCAGGTCCCATTATGAACGATTGTCTCTTCCCTGTGTGTCGCCCAGGGGGGCCTCCTCTAGTCATTGCCCCTCCCTCTCCAGGGGCTGGTCTCTCCTGACAGCATGCCCAAAGTACGTAAGAGGGACTCTCAGCAGCCTTGCCTCTAACGAGCACCCTGGCCACATCACTCGTCCGGATGCCCTCCATGTCCATCCGTCATGCGGGGCTTCACAGGTCGTCAACATCCCTTAGGGGTGCAGATATTCCATGTGTGTTGGTTCCAACGTGTGTGTTTCCGTTCTCCCACGGATGGGCATTTAGGTGGTTCCAGCATCTTGCTGTGAACAGTGCTGCAGTGAATGTGCACCTCTGCTTGTCCTGGGGGCTTTCGTATTTTAGGGTATGGACCCGGCAGAAGGATTGCTGGGACACATAGCATTTCTGTCCCCAGGTGTTTGATAACGCCCATGCCACTTTCCACAGTGGTTTGATGGTCCCACCAGCAGTGTATAAGGCTTGCAATCTCTCCAGAGCCTCGCCAGGTTTGTTGTCATTTTCTGTTTTGCGTTGTGTTCTCTAACTTGGCCGTCAATGCTGGGGTCAGGTGGTATCTCGTCGTGGTTTGATGGAATGGCTAGTGGTCTTGAGCATTGCGTCCTAAGTTTGTTGGCTCCCTGAATGTCTTCTTTGGTCAACTGACTGTTCATATTCTCTGCCCATTTTTCAATGCATTATTCATCATTTTTTGTTATCGTTGTTGTTGAGATGTTGACTTTTTCTATAGATTTAGAAATTAGTATCTTGTTCGATTTATCATTGTCAGTTTTCGTTCCCAGTCGGTGGGATCTCTTTGGCCTGTTTTGGTGAAGTCTTTTGAAGCTCATATGTGTCTTATTTTTAGGAGATGCCAATCATCTGTTTGTTTTTTCCTGTGTGTGTTTTTAAGTATGTTTGATAGTGTGTTTATGCCATGTAGTGGGGCCCCTAAGCATGTCCCTATGTTTGCATTGATGATATTTGTAGTTCTAGCTAGGGCTTCATGCATCTTAGTTCATTTTTATGTATGGAGTGAGGTAGGAGCCCTGTTTCATTCTTCTGCAAATGGGAATCCAATTTTGCCAGCACTATTTATTCACGAGACTATTGGTCCATTTAATATATTTGGTCCCCCACTTCCACTTCCATCTCCACAGTTGTCTGTGGGTGGATGGACTTCTTTCTGCATCTTTGTTCTGTTCCATTGGTCTGTGCATCAATCATCGTGCTGCTCCTGTGGCTGTGCAGTCGGTTTTAAAGTCGAGAAGTGAGGCTTCCTACTTTGTTTTTCTTCTTCAGTAGCACTCTGTTTATCTTCAGTCTGTTTCCACATTGCCCAATCTTTCAATGCTTTCCAACAATTTTCTTGTTGAAGCTGGGGTTTTCTTCATATAGAATCACATCATCTGCAAATAGGGTTTTACTTCTTTGCTAATTTAGATGCCTTTGGTTTCTTTTGACTGTTCAGTAGCTCTGCCTAAGGCCTTTAGCCCAGTGTGGAATAAGAGTGTGATAAAGGGCATCCTTATCTGGTTCCCTTTCACAAGAGGAATGTTTCAGACTATCCCCACTGAGAGAGAGCTGTTGGCTGTTAGGTTTGCGTTTATGGCCTTTATTGTGTTGAGGAATTTCCTTTTTATTCCTATTTTGTCGAGTATAAAGCATCATTTCGAAGTGTATTTTGTATTAATGTTTATTATTCTTAATTTTTAAAGCACACTGACTCATTTAATTTTAATATGTAATTATGTGTATTTTATCTGGGGGTCAAGGACTCTTAAATTTAAAAACAAAATTAAACAAATGTTCCCATTCCCACCATAATGGCAAAGAATTGCTTAAAGCAGCACAGTTAGTAACCAGTTTGTTGTTGTATGTAGATAAAGGAAAGCAAGATTCAAAGTTTCTGGAAGATATGTTTTCAATATTCACATAGTACATGTTTATGTCAGAAAGGGAAACTTGAAAATCTTGGTAAGCCCCTCCTCTGTCCTATCCTCTGGGAGTCCCATCTTCATCTGTTGAGCCTTCTAGACCGCCTCTCTGACAGGCTGATTTCTCTCCTGCGCTGTGTCTTCCTCCCTCCATCCCCCTCCCTGCTGGCTTGGAGGTTCCCTCACACTGCCGTGGCTTTACTGAAGGGCAGTGGACACTCGGTGACCTGCACATGTAGAAAACGTGCCTGTTTTCTAAAGTGGTTGACATTTACACTTCCACTAGAGTCCTAGTTTCCCCTCTCTCTCACCAACCCTGGCTTGGTCAGTCTTTTTCATTTTAACATCCCATCAGAGGTATAATGGTATAGCTCATTGTGACTGTGTTTCCCTAATAAATAATTAGCGTGCACATCGCTTCATGTGCTCATTTGTAGACAGTGTGTCAGTACTGATCTCGATCTTAAGAGTCAATCAATTGTGGTCATTTTTAGCATTAAAAAATGTAAAAAGGACTAAGAAGGCATTCATGCTTTACTTTCTTGTGTTCTCCCATTCCTTATTCTCGCTGCCTTCTCAAACGCCAGCAAGTTAGTATTTACTGAACATGTCTATTGCCGGTGTTCCTTGTCCAAACATAATATTGCTAGAAGCTAAGGTAAACTATGTTATAATCTAATTTAGAAAGGTAGGTTTATTTATTTTTGAATATAGATTTTCACTCCCTTCACCTCTCCCACCCCCTGCCACACCTACCGAATTTTCTACCTACTTGACAGTAATTCACCTATTTCTATACTCAGGACTTGTGCATACCTAAAATAACTCAGCCAAAACCAGTGGGTAAGTAAGGCTGAAGCTCTTCAGAAACTAAACTTTAGTTGAATTAGTGTAAGTTTTCTAATCTGTCAACCTCTAATTTTTATTATTTTATTTTATGGATTTGTCACATATCTAAGTGTGTAGTAATGTAAGGGGGTAAAGTACTGACCATTGTTCATTTTTTAATTTTAGATTTCAATGGTGTCAGTAATTCATATTCCTGATAAGACTTACAAGCTTTCCTGCAGGATACTATATCAGTATTTACTCCTGGCTCAAGGTCAATTTCATGTTCTTAAGGTAAGCTGTACTATGTAGTATCACTGTCTTTTGTTGGAGAATTTCAAAGAATAACTGTCAGGAAACTCTTGTATTTTTCAGTGTTATTATAGAAAAAAATTTAGCTAATGTCATAAAAGAAGTCTTGTTTTGTTTCTGACGTGAATTCCTCTTTGTGTTCATGTCTTTGGGACCTTTGTGTGGTGTTTGGAAGTCTACACCACCCAGAGACCTCAAATCCTAGAAACTGCCCAGAAAAAAGTACCTGCTTCTTTGTTTCCATGGTTTCCCTCTCTCATCTCTGCCGATGCGGCCTCACGTTCCAGGGACTTGTCACCTCCATGTACATTTAAAAAAAAATTTTTTTATTAGGGACTCATACAACTCTTATCACAATCCATACATACATCAACCGTGTAAAGCACACTTGCACATTCATTGCTCTCATCACTCTCAAAACATTTGCCCTCCACTTAAGCCCCTGGCATCAGCTTCTCATTTTTTCCCCTCCCTCCCGGCTCCCACCCCCCTCATGAACCCTTGATAATTTATAAATTATTATTTTGTCATATCTTGCCCTGTCTGACGGTCTCCCTTTACCCACTTTTCTGTTGTCCATCCCCCAGGGAGGGGGTTATATGTAGATCCTTGTAATCGGTTCCCCCTTTCCACCCCACCCTCCTTCCACCTACTCTGTATCGCCTCTCTCAGCACTGGTCCTGAAGAGATCATCCGCCCTGGATTCCCTGTGTTTCCAGTTCCTATCTGTACCAGTGTACATCCTCTGGTCTCGCCAGATTTGTAAGGTAGAATTGGGATCATGATAGTGGGTGGGGAAGAAGCATTTAGGAACTAGAGGAAAGTTGTATATTTCATCGTTGCTACACTGTACCCTGACTGGCTCATCTCCTCCCTGTGACCCTTCTGTAAGGGGATGTACAGTTGCCTACAGATGTGTCTTGGGTCTCCACCCCCACTCCCCCTCATTCACAATGATATGGTTTTTTGTTCTTTGATGCCTGATACCTGATGCCTTCGACACTTCGTGATCGCACAGGCTGGTGTGCTTCTTTCATGTGGGCTTTGTTGCTTCTGAGCTAGATGGCCGCTTGTTTACCTTCAAGCCTTTAAGACCCCAGATGCTATATCTTTTGATAACAGGGCACCATCAGCTTTCTTCACCACATTTGCTTATGCACCCACTTTGTGTCAGTGATTGTGTCGGGAAGGTGGGCATCATGGAATGCCAGTTTAATAGGACCAAGTATTCTTGCATTGAGGGAGTACTTGGGTGGAGGGAGGCCCAATGTCCATCTGCTACCTTAATACTAAACCTGTAAATATATACACATATATCTATTTTCCCTTCATCATATAAATATATTTACAAATGTACATGCCTGTATTTAGACCTTTATAAATTCCCTTTACCTCCTAGCTCTTTCCTCTATTTTCTTTAACTTTCCTCCTGTCCCACTATCATGCTCAGCCTTCATTTGGGTTTCAGTAATTCCTCTCGGTTCCATTACCCTTGTTCAAGCCCTACCAGGCCTCCTACACCCTCCTCATCACCGATTTGGATCACTTGTTGTTCCCTGGTCCCTGGGTTTGCTAACAGCACTACCTTTCCCCTCCCCTCCCTCTATCCCATGTCCCCCCGGAACTGTCAGTCCTGTTATTTTCTCCTCCAGATTGTTCATCCAGCCTATCTTATTTAGACAGACCTGCAGAGATAATAACACGCACAAAAACAAGACAGAGCAAAACCTAGCAACAAAAGAAAACAACAACAACAAGCCAATGACAACAAAAAAACCAAAACAGAGCTACCATCCGTGTGCATTTTTAGTGGCTTGTATGACCTGCAAGTTCAAAGACTGGATGGTGGCATTTGTAATTATTTTTAAACTTGTCTCTCTCATCTCCAGCAACTTTACATGTCTGCAAACAGTAATTCCACTCCCACGAGCAGCCCTTCTTCAGAAGAGCGGAGCACAAACCACAGCTCGTTGGAAAAGGCCGGCCTTGGCGAGAGCGAGGTGGAGCCCCCCGAGGAGAGCAGCAGGGACTGCGTGGTCTGCCAAAATGGGCCTGTGAACTGGGTGCTCCTGCCCTGCAGACACACATGCTTGTGTGACGGCTGCGTCAGGTATTTCCAGCAGTGCCCCATGTGCAGACAGTTCGTGCAGGAATCTTTTGCACTTTGCAGTCAAAGAGAACATGATAAGGACAAAAAGAAACCTATGTGAAGATGTGGGTACAACTGCGAAGTCCACTTCCCGCTGCAGGTCCAGCATCTTGTGTCTGTGGCTCTCATCATAACTTGGAATCTACAGTATTGACCATCAGTGGAAATGATATTCTAACCTTGTATTTATACAGCACATGGGTGGTAAAAATGAATCCTCTCTGCTTGGCGTAGTAAATGCTGGAATATATATATATATATATATAAAATCACTCAACTAGAGAATGTGAATGTTTGGCCTTTTGTCACCTAGAAGATTGCAGATATTACCGATGAAAATTACATACTAAATAAAAGTCCGTCTAAAGTTTGAGGAGGTAAAAGTCTTACATTGACAAAATGGTTTCCTTCGACATATTCTGGAGTATAATTAGGAAAATAATAATTCTTGTGGTTAGTAGCTCAAGGCATGACCACTTACGCTATGAGAGCCCCTGTGAGATAATAATTCTTAAAGTGATTGTGTGACACGCTGCCCCACCCCCACCCCAATTTTACCAAGGACTTGGAAAAAGCTTTTTCACTTGTAAGCCTTTCTGAAAACACCATTTTGAAAAAAACACCCGTTCGTGTGCTTTCTAATTTTCCATATCATCCTTTACATAAATTCACGTCTGAATTTTAAAATACGGGTTCTGAAATCATAAATGCAAGACGCAAGTCTCGAATGTTCTCGTTCATAAATTAAAATGATATTCATCTAGGAGATAGACATACAAGCTTGCATAATAAACTTCCTCAGATAATTACATTTCTTGTCAGAGGTGATGAGAGAGCGGGGTGGCCAGTCAGACACAATGGAGAGTGTGATCTCTTCCCGAAGGTCTTCCTGCGTCTCCCTGGGAGGCGCTGCTCGATGCCTTACTTGCACAGTGGAGTCCTCTAAAACCCTGCTGAGGGCTTCTGGAGCCAGGAGAATCACGAAAAGTAACCACGATAGCGATTTTTCTGATGTATTTTTATTCCAAATAAACCTGGTGCCCTCTGGAAAGTACGTGGTTTTGTTCATTTGTTGCTACAGCCTGTTGCTGAGCGCCGGACAGGCAAAAAAGACTCCCCACTTTTCCAGGATGGCCAAAAAAGTAAAGGTACGCCAGAGCTTTCTGTGTCTTTAGTGAAAAGTCCCGTCAACTCACCAAGCAAATAGTTCATGGCAAATAAACTGACATTCAGCCAAACTGTGAAGCCTTTGCTGTTTGCATTACCAATAAGACCTGTTTACACCAGTGTTTTGGCGTCCTGTTTCCTTCACATGAAATGCAGCACTCTGAAGAGGCCATTACTTGTTCCTCGTATTAACCTTATCAAACTTCCATCTCCATTCAATAGCCATGTAAGTGAAAATCTGGGTGGTGCAAATGTTTTATGCTTGACTACTCATCTAAAGGCTGGTGGTTCAAACCCACCCACTGCACTGAGGAAGAAAGGCCAGGTGATCTGCTTCTATAAAGATTAAATAAAAAAAAACACGTGAGTTTGTGTTTTGGTTTAGAAGCCAGGCATCTTTTTTTTTTTATTTAATAATTTTATTGGGGGCAACTCTTATCACAGTCCATATATACATCAATGTGTCAAGCACCTTTGTACATTTGTTGCCATCATTCTCAAAACATTTGCTTTCTACTTGAGCCCTGTATCAGCTCCTCATTTTTCCCCTCCCTCCCTACTCTTCCCTTCCTCACGAACCCTTGATAATTTATAAATTATTATTTTGTCATATCTTACACTGCCGACATCTCCCTTCACCCACTTTTCTGTTGTCCATCCCCTAGGGAGGAGGTTATATGTAGATCCCTGTAATTGGTTCCCCCTTTGCAACCCACCATCTCTCCACCCTCCCGGTATTGCCACTCTCAGCACTGGTCCTGAAGGGATCATCTGTCCTGGATTCCCTGTGTTTCCAGTTCCTATCTGTACCAGTGTACATCCTCTGGTCTAGCCGGATTTGTAAGGTAGAATTGGAATCATGAAAGTGGGCAGGGGGAGGAAGCATTTAGGAACCAGAGGAAAGTTGTGTTTCATCGTTGCTACACTGCACCCTGACTGGCTCGTCTCCTCCCCGAGAGCCTTCTGTAAGGGGATTTCCAGTTGCCTACAGATGGGTCTTGGGTCGCTAGTCTGTACTCCCCCCTTCATTCACAATGATATGATTTTTTGTTCTTTGATGTCTGATACCTGTTCCCTTCAACATCTCATAATCACATAGGCTGGTGTGCTTTTTCCATGTGGGCTTTGTTGCGTCTGAGCTAGATGCCCGCTTGTTTACCTTCAAGCCTTTAAGACCCCAGATGCTATATCTTTTGATAGCTGGGCACCATCAGCTTTCTTCACCACATTTGCTTACAGGCATCTTTTTTTAATTGTAAAATATACATGCCATAACATCTGTCAATTAAGCAATTTCCACATGCAAAAATCCAGAAACCAGAGATTTCCTAGGAGTGTAGCTTCCAACCCATCTGGCAAAGCTCCAACTGCCAAAGCATTTGTTCCTAAAAATGAACCTGACAGTTTATTAGAAGCATGTCCCTTCCCCTGGAGATTCTTAAAGCTCTCTTCCAACATCGCTGGGAGCAGGGTTTGCAAAAGCCACAGTCCCTGCTGCTAGTGGTGTGAACAACGATCTGGTCAGTGAGGGAAAGGCCCAGAGATCATTCTGTTCCATCTGCCACAATGCTTCCCTTCGTGCCGCTGCTTGTATCTAACCACAGGGGCAGTGACTCAAACCCACTAGACACTTTGTGTGAGAAAGATGAGGCTAGGTGCTCCCAGAAGGACTTACCGTTTTGGGAACCCCATGGTCACCCTGACTTGGAATTGGCTCCCTGGCAGTGGTGTGAGTGGCAAAACAGGGAGGGTAAAGGGAGAATGGGTAGGGAAGAGGGAACCGATTACATGGAACTGTGTGTGACCTCCTCCCTGGGGGACAGACAACCAAAAAGTGGATGAAGGGAGATGTCGGACAGGGCAAGATATGACAAAATACCCATTTATAAACTATCAAGGGCTCATGCGGGAGGGGGGAGTGGGGAGGGAGGGCAAAAATGAGGACCTAATGTCGGGGGTTTCAATGGAGAGAAAATGTTTTGAGAAACGATGTACAAATGCGCTTTACACAATTGATGTGTGTATGGATTGGGATAACAGTTGTATGATCCCCTAATAAAATGTTAAAAAAAAAAAAGAAATGAAAATACTTGGTTTGTTTATGAAGCTAAGTTGCTACTTTCCGAATGGTCCAACCAGGACCTTATCAAACGGACTCAACAGATGACTAGCTACCTCCTCCAGGGCTCTTTCCTTCCCAACCTGCTGTCAGCCGCACTCCAGACCTAACGTTCCAAACTGACTCCAGGGAAGGAAGTGAGAGCTGTTTCTCAGGGGCTGCAATCAGTCACTAGGTCACCTCCCATGGCATTACTTTTACTTTATTTATATCACTGCTATATGAAGAGTTTGGTGTGTGGAGCCCTGGTGGCGTAATGGTTGCCGGTTGGGCTGCTAACTGCAAGGTCAGCAGTTCAAAACCACTAGTTACACCATGAGATTTGAAAGACGGGGCTTTCCAGTCCTATAAAGAGTTACAGTCTTGGAAACACACAGGTGGCCCTACCCTGCCCTTTAGGGTTGCTGTGAGTGGACATCAACTCATGGCAGTGAAAAATGAAGAGCCTGGTCTTGGCATTGGGGAATTAGTAGTAATGGTGTCAGATCTCTCATTTCCCTCTGGTCTGCCCCTTAACTCCTTTCCCCAGATGTTGAGCACTGAAAACCACCCCTCACTGTCCCCTCCTGGGTCTCTCTTCCTTGTCTTTGTGATCTCTCATCTAGTTCCTCACCCTGGGTCTACCAAGAGAGCTCATGCCACACATCTTACATGACCTGGGGCTCCCGCTCAGCGACTCCAAATGTGTTCTCACCCCCGCCTGCTTTCTCGACCTCTCCACCCTACCTATACCACCAATCCACAAGCTTGTCTTCACTTGACCAGCAGTGTCTTGACTGATGTTCCCAAGGAAAGTTGAGGGGCCTAACTGATTAACGGAGTATATTGGAAAGCAACAAGACCCCTAGTGCAGTTTGATTGTCTTTTTTGGTCCTTTTTCCTAATGCATTCCTGACCAAACTCCTAACCGCCATTCCAAAACTTCTTCACGCCTTTTATTTTTATTGGTGTTTCCTTGGTGTGGTTGACCAGGTCAGCAGTTCAGAACCACTCCAAGGGAGAAAAAGAAGGCTTTCTCCTCAGTTTTGGAAACCCACAGGGGCAGTTCTAGTCTGCCCTATAGGGTCACAATGAATCATTTGACTCGGCAGCAGTGAGTTTGGGTCGATGCTGTACTTTTTCTATACTTCTCAAGATGGTGTTACGATACACTATATAGGACGTACACCAATTCAACAGTGTCTACACACGCCACGCAGAGTGACAGTCTTCAGGTTGTGCATCTGTTCTCACCTCATTTTCGGCTTGTTCCTCCTCCATTGACATCGTTTCACTGCCCTCCAAGGTTCTGATCTTTCTGGTTGCTGGTGTCAGTCGGATCCCATGGAGAGAGAGCGTCAAAGAGCGCAGTGCGCAAGGCCGACAGTCTTTACTAGTTAGGCTTTCAGAAGACGTCAGGGATGCTTTGGGCTCAGGGTTTAAAGATGGCCTTAGCTCGGTAGTTCCAGGGGTCCGTCCAGCCTCCATGGCTCAAGTTCTTTATCCTACACTGCTGATAAACTCTCAGCAAAGAATCTTCCAGAGGCAATATAGTTGACGGACTCAGAGCAATAGAGATTGAGAAGTAGGAGGGAAAAAAAGAGTTTGCTCCTTTCTGTCTGTTTCCTGTTGGCTTTCTGTTTGCCTTCTGTTCCTGTCTCCAACCTGCCTTCCAGGAAGAGCAGTGGACCCCAGTCTGCAGTTTTCCCCACTCTTGCCAGACCTGCGTCACCCCTCCTCACAGGCCCGAGGGCGTCATTTCCGTGGCCCTGCCCTCCACATTTCTGTTTAATCATCTGGCTTCTTTCCTTGGTCACCCTCTGTGGGGAGCGGCTGCTTCCTACAGTTGCCCACCCTGCACCACCTTTCAGCTTTTCAGTTAGCAACTTTTAAAATTCAATCCCCTGATTAAAAAATTGGTGTGTGTTCAGTCCCCAGACTGGACTCTAATTGATCCAATGACATCTTATCTCATTGAATCCTCTTACAACTCACTAAGGTAGGCAGAAAACTGAGAGCAGATGGCATGAAATACTAACTCATATTTCACAGTAGTGAAATGACTGGAGCCCCTGGGTGGTGTAAATGGTCAACACACTCCACTGCTAACCAAAAAGTTGGGGTGTTCAAGTCCACTCAGAAGTGCCTGGGGAGAAAGGCCTAGCACCCTACTTCTAAAAGCTCAGCCATTCAGAACTGTGGAACACAGGTCTACTCTGAAACACACAAGGTTGTCAACAGCAACTGACTTGGTTTTAAGCAGTCAAGACTTGGCCACCGGCTTTGTAAAAATGGCATGGAGCTGATCTCCTCTGACTCCACAAGGGGAAAGAAGAGTCAAAGTCAACATCAGCACAAGGCCAATTCCTGGAGGTGGAGGTCAGACATGTTTCCACCCACCACCCTTCTTTACCAGTGATGACAACTACCACCATTTCAATAGCACTCTGTTTCTCTGCTGGGTTTGAAAATCGGTTACAATGGCTACACAGAACTCAGACAGTGCTCACGGTCATGGGGTTTATTAGGGAAGTCATTGGTTACAATTCAGGTTCAGGAACACTTAGGAAACAGTTCTTCTGTCAGGTAGCCTCTTCCCTTTTATCTTCTTTTTTTTAAACACAGTTTATTGGCACATAATTTACATATCATACAATTCAGTGGTTCAATCATTCAATCATATCAAGAATAGTTGTACTATCATTACCACATCAATTTTAAAACATTCCCCTCCATGGTTAAGTCACCCTTAAAATGAGTTGTGCTGTTCACAACCACTTCTAGTG